CGAGCAGAAAAAAGTCACAGTGAGGTTGGCACAAGATGCATGATACATTTTACAGACTAATGTTGAATCATAAATACCTATAGTTATAATCTTTATCTATGTGTAACACACCGGTACAATTATAAGGCACACAACACCAGGTGGTTGTTAAGTACAGAGAATGGCTTGTTACACATCTGTGACTTCAACTGGTGGGTATCCAAGTCTTACAAGGAGATGTGATTATCAACGTATTATTGATCATAATAATTTATTAATATCTGAATTGGTGCCCGATTCTTGAAGTGGGATCTCACCCAGATAGGATCATTATTTGTGACGAAGTCATGTGGAAATAAACACATACATACTGGGACATACAGTACACACACACACACACACACACACACACACACACACACACACAAACACACACACACAGACGTACACACACACACAGTCACACACACACACACACAGACAAACCTAAAATCTTGACTCCGCAGGAGATGATCATGAAGTACTTAATGCCAATAATATCTGATCTGAAATTACAGGATTAAATCTTATAGTCAAGATTCACTCAAGAAGCACTCAAACTTCCCTGTATGACTTCTCCTCAGGGGTTTACCCTATAATTCTGTGACGTTAGAAGCGCCTCCTCTGAGGGTTATTGATTCACAGCTACAGGAAAGTTGATACGACTCAAGACGCAATTATCGGCTGAGCGCGCCGGTAAGGAAATGTTTCTCAGATTGCCGAGGACAGATAAAATCGCTGAGGCACGTCGTAAGGAGGACTTTGGGGGGGATTTTCATCGAAAATGGATAAGAAAGTGAGCAAGTATTGGCAATGGCATTTATCATTATCTCCTAAGAGGAGAGTATCTTGAAATCAAGTCAACCCTGTCTTTAGCGACCAGCACTGAAGGGACATTGAAAAAATGGTTATAGTAGGTACAATAGGCAGACTTCTTAATGCTTGAATGGACAAGATATTACATACATAAGAGGGCGCCTATTGAGACCGGTATTATCCTAAGCAACTGATAGACATTGACAGGACACGCACCAAAAAAGGACACACAAGTGGCATACATGTAACAGGAGCAGCTGACTACATAAGAAAACAGACTCTCAAGTCTCTGGATAGGTTTTGATTAGCGATGATCGGCGCTACTTTTTGTTAGTAACTGATCGATGAAGAACAGCACTATTCTGGACACTAGAGGGAAAAAATAACAAGGAGGACCTAAGGTCACCTGGCGGAGAAGAGTAGCAAAAGCGCTGGAAAATTTCAGCCACACGTGGAACAGTATGCAGATAGCAGCCAGGCCAGGACAGAAGGAACTGTACAGCTTTTGCTATTGCCCTGCTAGTACACTCTGGGCAGTTTAAGTAAGCATTAGTACGAGGCCGCAAAAAAATGTCACATTGGCCATATGGTCCTTATGCAGAAGTGGACACTAGTGAAAGTTTGACTATATGTCAATGGCCAATATCAATGGCCAGATGGTCCTTATGCAGAAGCAGTCATTAGGACAGGTTTGGCTACATATATTCAGCTTGCAAAAAGGAACAAACAAGAACATTTAGCCTAAAAAATATAGTCAATTAAACCGCAGAAATAGTTTATTTCCGCCCTCCCCCACGAGATTGTCATATGTGAGGGATTAGCTGTTTAAGCCAGACACATGATATTTGAGTGCACAGAGATAACCTTAATCCTACCAGACGGGATCTACAAAATGATACATGCTTGTAACAATGAATACTAATTACCTGGGCATCTAATTGGAACAGTCCATTATCATGTGAGGGGTGGCATTGTGACAACTTCTTATAAGACAATGTTGAAATTAAATGAGCTGGCAAGACATCAGTTCAGTTAAAAACTTTGACATGATACAATTAAGTGTGGTAAGAATTTTACATTCGTTAGTGATTTCTTAAATATATTTTTTAATTTTTGAAAAAAATACCATGACTATGATCTAAAGAATTCTGCAACATTTATCATCAGGTATCTATATCTGTCTTGCCCCTGTGTTTCTCCTCTCTCCAGTTTGGAAACAAATTTAAAAGAAAGGTTATGGACATTACATGGACCATTTCTCATACATATGACCTGTCTCACTAAGTATCACAGTATCTCTATCAAAAGGTCATGGAACTATGTAATGTTTCGCTAGACATATTTTAAAATATATGCAGTGGACTATGCTTATGCATGCTCTACACAACTACAGTGTGCAGTTTTAAATTTAAAAAAAAGGCATAACATTGATTTAAGTTTTCACAATATTATCATTATAAAAGACCAAGCTGATTGGCACTTGCCTGCATGTAATTGTGGGAAGAAATAGAGAAAGAGCTTTCACTCTTCAGGACTGGAAATACTGGGTGCATGTACACCTTAGTGCACCCAAATTGGAGCTGTGCACCCAATATTTTTCTGTGGGTGCACACACACCGGGTGCACCAAAATATTTTTGTAGGTATTTTTGTACATATCAAATGTATACTTACTACTACTATACAGGATATTCTTGGCATTTATGTGTCAGAAAAACAACAAAATCTAAGTTGTAGTACTTGTTTAAGATTTTGAAGTTAGCTCCCATTTCAGATGCACACAAAAAAATTTTGTGCACCCAATTATTGGGTGCACCAGTGCACCTATTCCTAAAAATGAATTTCAAGCCCTGCTCTTAGTCAATCATCCTTCAAGAGCCTGACTCAGTAATACTTTCCTAACCCTGGTTCACCTCAACACTCATAAAACACAGTCAATTGCTGCTACCTGACCCAAAACATGCCTGCCTACGCTAAAACAGGACTTAAGGTTATAAATAATCGACGAGAGGCTTTGAATATAATTGGACGCTGCAGTAATTGGCTCCTTAGGGTGCAATATCTGTACTGACACAAACAATAACAGGAATCCAGTCTTTATTACGTCTGCCCACGAATTATCGATTTCTTCATCATACAGTCATTAGCTAGCTGGTCTAGTTAAGGCCACACTGATCCATTGGTGCTCGGAATCGTGTGGTGTAATGGTTGGATGTTTGGCCAAGAACCCATAGGTCCTAGGCTCAAATCCACTAATATTAACATGCTCCAATGTAGTGCCCCTTGGGAAAGGCACTTTTCTCGACTTTCCTCACTTCACTCTCACTGGTATAAAATGGGTACTAGTACAGATGCCCTGGTTAGCTTGAATAGAACGTTTTTGGGGAGAGTCCCACCTTTCGACCATGGTCCAAAACTCCAAATACTTAACTATCTGGAAGTTGGAGACTTAAATTACAAATTACCTGGATTGAGGACTGCCGAACCCCCGCCTTGTATCAGCCACACATCACTCTTGTAGATTATGGTGTCAAATTTATTAATATCTAACACTAACAGAGATTCTGGTGCACTGGTACTAGTATGCAGAAAAAAAAGTGAGTATCATATACAACCAAATTGTAAACAAGGAGTACAGGATGCTGTGATGACACAGTCCACATACTGAACAACGGCCCTGGGCAAAACCAATTTAACGCCACGGTTCTGAACAAAACAATGACGGACTTCTGAGAAGGCAGTGCTGACAACAACTGTCTGAAGTCATGACCCACTGAATATCACATTTTGCATTATCTCAAGAGTTGTCTGATAACAATGTACACAATGAAGGCATGGTTTTATTACCCTGATCGTATTACCTAATATCAACTTTATAGGGTCTTAAACAAGGCTCAATAAACATCAGTGCAAGGCATAATGGTCAGTGTAAGTAGTCTTACATGTAGGTAAAAGCAAGATTGAATGACAATAGGTTGGGCTTCAGTAGAACCAAGGATCCTTGGCAAAACAATCTATCAAATATATACACTGTAAAGGAGCTAAATGTTTGATGGAGTGCAGACTTTTTCATTGCAAAAATCAAAGACAAGATACATACACAGTGAGTGGTGCCTCCTCAAGCCTTAGACCTTGTAATTAGCAGCACCATGAGAATAACAAAGATACAATCTACATGTAAACAATGGATCATACCTGGTTCTACCACTCTAACTCACCTGACGGATCAAATGCCTTTGTTAAGGGGAGGTCAGCTGGTGTGTGGAGGGTTAAATATGGGCTGCAGGGGTCAGATTCTGGCAGAGAAGGGGGGACATGTGGGAAAATGAACAGACTTGGGAGGAAGAAAATTATATACTTTTTTTAGAAAAAGACCTGTAATGCAGGTCAATCTCAACTGAGGTGAAGCATGGTGCTTTCTCAAGTTGCTACTATAATACTATAAGTATAATGTTAACGTTAAATGTCTTGTTACTTTGCTAACTTAGTTAAACCATGGAGCTCCAATCTACTGACTACTAGTAATTCCTGGGGCCCAGTACTAGCCTGTACGTGTAAACATGTTTGTGTTGGGCCCTTCCCAAACTTCCGTCTTCTATTTTCAGAGCTAGATGTTAAAAGACAATGCGACAACACACAGAGAGTTAACAGTACACAGTGTACAGTGACGTTATGTCTCAAAACAACAGCTAAATTCTCTCGTCAAATTACCGTACAAAACACATCACTATTGCTGTGGAGATACAATTTGATTAAGGTAACAAAGGGGGCGTCCTCAAGTAACACCAACGTAACGGTTACACAGCGCACTGCTCGCCGCTACCCGAACATAATATTGGTGCCAAACACGCTGTAAAAATAACCCTCCCTCGGCTGTATTTAGCTTCAGATTTTAAAGCAAAGTAGACAGAAGCCCCCGAGTACCTTAGACTACAGCAAAAGAGCCCAGGATAATAATCTTCGTTTGAAACGCAAAGTAAATATTTTGTCCCTATAATCCTTAGAAACCGGAATATTCTAGACACCTGCTACACCCCCTATATATAAGGCCAGCATGCATGCGATATTAAATTTCACGGACTCGCACACACACTTTGCGTTGTCATGGTTACCGAGCATTTGTCGCCCGTCTAGGATCGAGCCCGCACGTCCAGACAGTGTACTTACCACCGCTAGACGCCGTGGAGCCGAGTTATACGGGCAGAAAGCCGGGAAAGTCTGCGGGAAACACGTACACTTACAACCCGCCCGACAGGACGAACTGTGCAGCACTGTGCTGCGGCATACCAGGGCGGGTCAGAGGTCAGCAGGGTTCAAATTTTGGCGGGAAGCGACAGGTGTACGTGGAGTCTCGTGCCCAGGGTAGTCTCCGAGCAGATACGTGGTTTTTGGCTAGTTTTGGGGTGTTAAATCGGTTTTACTCGTTCATACGTATCTATTTAGAGGGTACATTTGTAAATAAAATATGGCACATGCTACATTTAAAACAGAAAAAAAATGATCAAGAAGAAATTGTTGATTTCATACCTCACTGAAATAGTAAGTTATTTCTTTCTCAAATTCAAATTTATTATTGTGGATTCCACCATCTACAACACTTGGCTTCCTGACCTAACTTTCTGTAACTGAACTTTTGGGGTTTGTGTTTCCCCAACCCACGTGCTGTCACCTGCCATGTAAGGGAGGACTGCCACCACTTAAACCTACATAACATCAACCCACAGGATAGAGGCAAACGGTGGGCTGCCATCAAGCCTCAGCATTGCTGTGCAAGCACGTCTAACCCTGGGAAGTCAGGGAACAACAGATGCTAAACCAGATAGTGAGTGAGTGGAGACCAACCATTGACTAATGGAGACTACTAGACCAATGGATACTGCCTTGCCACCATATAATTTGCATGGAGAATAACTTACTAGAGTTTGGTGATTTGCCTATCTATAACTTGCATATGTCTACCAACAATTGATGTAAACAGAAACAGTGATTGCTCATAGGATGGCACCTACGCTAGGCAGTTAAAAAAGACAATACACCACAACTTTCCCTCACACAAGGTTTAATTCTTTAAGAATATGAACAGTACATGAGCAATACACGTCATTCCTGTAGACTAGATAAACAAGACCCATCCAGAAGGTTAACTCATTTCCAAGTCTGGCCCAATCTCCAAGCAGATTCTTGGTTAGATACTGTATCCAATAGGATACTGTCTAGGCCAGCTGTATATACATGTACATGTACATTCCTTAGATTCTTTCTAATCAGTACTTCAAGTCACTGAAATGCTTCTTGTAAAGTAAGACAGGCAAATTTGTACACAAAGCAATTTTAATTGAGGATAAGTATCCCAAAGGAGACCAACTGAAAGCCACAACACGTATAATATAATTCTATAATTCTGGATTTGGATTCTTAGGTCTACTTTATGTTTCAAACATAGCTGCAAGAATGTTATGTTCATGGTGAGCATTGGACACACTGCGACATGACAGTGAGTTACATAAGAGTTTATAGGATGTGGTGTGTTCAGACGTGAAGTTGTGTGTTTATCTATAGAGGAAGTCAGCCTGTAGGTTAGCGGCGATCTCTGCCTCCCACTTGTCTCCGTTGTTCAGTAGTTTCTCCTTGTTGTACAGCAGCTCTTCGTGCGTCTCCGTCGAAAACTCAAAGTTCGGACCCTGGAAAACAAGAAAGGAAAGTTGTTAGTGACTCAGAAGGCACCCATAGATGTGGCAGACTTTGACGCGTTCATGCAAATAGGCACACACATGCATACACACACAGCAACACAATGAAGAACTTTATTGACAGAAGAAAAAGTGCAGCGACTTGTACAAAGAGTACACATGCATACACACACACAGACACAGACACACACACACACAAACACACACATGCACACACATACAGACAGACACATAGACACACATACAGAGTGTCACACAAACAGCCAGGTTTACAAGCCTAAATCACAGCATAGGGGGTCCAAATCACAATATAGGGAGCCCTTTGCTGAAACAATCCTTGCTGGAACACTGCTTGCCATATCTTACCTCTACAATAGCGTCCACAGGACACGCCTCCTGGCAGAACCCGCAGTAAATGCACTTGGTCATGTCGATGTCGTACCGGGTGGTTCGGCGGCTGCCGTCAGCCCGAGGCTCCGCTTCGATCGTGATCGCCTGGGGGAACATATCAAATTTCATCAAAATGTAGGAAAGAATCACTCTCAAGATGAATACCTTGCCATTGATACACACATGCATGCACACACGTGTACACATTGACAAGGTATTCAAGATTCTGTGAAGTCTGTGGGGGAAGTCTGTACACAAAAGTTTCGAGGTACAGACTTTCCCCAAGGCAGACTTTTGTGTGATTTCAGACTAGTAGCTGTTTTAATAACTACAGTCAGTTTCTATTCTAATGTGTGCTACTGACAGTATGCAAACAAGCGTGCAATTTCAACCAGATAAACCAACCAAACCAAGTTACACACAGTTTCAGGGAGTGAATATAGTCAGATTCAAGTTTTCTGATGCCTGCAGAAGATTGATTGATTGATTGATTGATAAAAGACTTTGTCTCACCTGTGATTGATTGATTGATTGATTGATTGATTGATTGATTGATCACCTGTGCAGGACAGATGGCCTCACACAGATGCAGCGCTCCTCCCCATTGATTGATTAATTGATTGATCTATTGATTGATCGAATGATTGACTGATTGATCAACTCACCTGTGCAGGACAGATGGCCTCGCACAGCTTACAGGCGATGCAGTGCTCCTCATTGATTGATCGATTGATCGATTGACTGATTGATCGATTGATCAGCTCACCTGTGCAGGACAGATGGCCTCGCACAGCTTACAGGCGATGCAGTGCTCCTCCTCATTGACTGACAGGATTGATTGATTGATCAATTGATTTGATTGATTGATAGATCGATTGATTTATCAACTCACCTGTGCAGGACAGATGGCCTCGCACAGCTTACAGGCGATGCAGTGCTCCTCCCCGGACAGATTGATTGATTGATTGACTGATCGATTGACTGACTGATTGATTGATTGATTGACAGATCAGCTCACCTGTGCAGGACAGATGGCCTCGCACAGCTTGCAGGCGATGCAGCGCTCCTCCCCGGACGGGTACCTGCGCAGGGCGTGCTCGCCGCGGAACCGCGGGCTCAGCGGACCCTTCTCGAACGGGTAGTTAATCGTGGCCGGCTCACGGAACATGTAGCTGATCGCCATGGAGAGCCCTGGGGACAAAGGTCACAGGTCAGGGGTCATAGTGCCATAAAATGTAACAAGAATCGTTCAAACAAACAAACAAATTTCAAGCACATTCTTGTACTATAATTTATTTGGCCACTATGAGTGGCCCAGTACAGATTAGGCTATTTTTGTATGGAAAAGGCATGCAACAAACTTTACAGAAATCTTTTTAAAAAAAATTGTTGTATTATTGGTCTTTAAATAGAGCTATGTATAAGTACAGCTTATAACACCAAAATAATGAAATTATATAAAAAATTTGATGGAAAGAAGGGCTATGCATCATATTTTCTGGCTTACCCACAGCCATTACAAATTTGTTGCAAACCGGCTACCTAGAATGCTAGATATGCTGAAGGATAGAATGTCAATGACTTGTACCTCTGATGAGTTCGGTGAGGAACAGTGTCGTCGCTGCCTTGTCTGTGATCTCCCTTAAGGTCTTGTCTTCCTTCTCAGGAGGGTTCACTAATTCTGCAAGTCACACACAGACAGACTGTCAGGATTTATCATATCATGAAAGTTCATCTGTGTTGGTAGTTACATGTTTAAAGTTAAAACTTTAGATCCAGCACAAAAAGTTCTCTCACCTAGAGCTTTCGACCAGTCACTCTGGTCTTCCTCAGTAGACTGACCCAGTGAGGCCAGGGTTAGACAAGTCCTATTGCCCACTTGCCCAGGGCAAGTAAAAGTACTGTTCAGGCAACAGGCAAGTGAATATCCCCCTGTATTTGCCCAATTGGGCAAGTAAATTTTTTGGATGCGAAGTTTAGCCGCATAATATTTGGAGCAAAATTACTCATCATTTGGCCATAAAGATATTTATTAATGCCCTTTTGTCAGAAAATCCATTGCAAGTCTCAAACCACCTTATTTTGATAACTCTAAAATAAAATAATTTCCTTGCTGGTAGTAAAAATGCATATAAAAATGTCATGTACATGTATATTTGGGACAAGTGAAAAGTTGGTTCGGGCAAGTGGAAATGACCATGTACTTGCCCAATAGGGCAAGTGGATTTTTGAAAACTTGTCCAACCCTGGAGGCTAATGTCAGAGGCTTCTTTGAAGTGTGACGTCTACACTGGGTCAGAGGTGTCTGGTAGACAATCTACCAGAGTGACTGAAAGCTCGAGGTGAGAGAACTTTTTGTGTTGGATCAGAGATTTATAGTAACGCCTAGGGAAAAAAATGCTGTGCTTCCAGTTTCCCGACCGACCTAGAAAAAGCTGCTGACCCCTGTGTGAACCCCTGTAAGAGACGTAAATTTTTCGAGCTGATCGACCTTTTCTAGCTCCATGATCTGAGATGTGAGTGATGAAACATTGTACAATCAGTTTTCCAATGCTGACATTGAAAATAAAAAGTGTCCTCATGCAAGTTTTACTTTTTTAAACTGTGTTGTTCATCACTAGAGATTACCTAAGTTAAATAAAAAGAAACAAAAAAGGATAATCCCGCTACACACCGACCCTAATTTCTTTACTTTACTTTGTGTTGGAAGTTAATGTGTCTGAAATATCCAGGTTGGAACATAGAAAGATCTCAGTCGAACATGGATTTGGTTGATCGGTGAAGGCTAGACATCCAAGTAATTCCAGGATTCAAGATTTCCCAACAATTCTTCAGTGTCACTGACGAAAGGCAGTGGATGTCTGACGTCTGACCATTTCTAAAATCATATCCAGTTGCCTGAGTAACTTTTTTGGGGGGCGTTTCATGATTTGGTCAAACATTGAGTTTGCTTTCCTTTTATGCTGCACATAGAGTATCCATGGAAACAGAACTTACTGAAGGTTCCTTTCCCCACATTCTCCAGCTGGGCCACACCTCGCACACAGCTGACTGCCGCCGGCCTCAGCACCAAGCCTAGTCTCCACGCTGGGGAGGAGCAGACACAGTAACAAGTGAACAACTAAAAAGTGTAAGTGATCTCAAACCAGTTTAGCTCATTGAAGAGCTACTCTCCCACTGTTCGTGACAGAGAAGACAGACGCTATGTACAGTATTTACAGGTTCATTGTACCGGGGAACTTCCCCTAGCTCTTTTCGACAAGTACAATGAACAGTGGACCACGGCTTGACGTACCGTCCTAAAGACTTAGACCCTAAACAGTAGCGTGCATGTCAGGTGAGCGACAACAGCCGGGATTCGAACTCCCAACCTCTTAGTCCAGAGGCAGGATCACTAACCACTGGACTACGCACGCACCGCAACTATATCACATGCATGGAACACAGGGTTCTCAACAGGATTATTTCACTGTGTAGGGGTCAGGTACAGAAGGGCATTCTTTCTGCAGCGCAAGTAGCGCATTGACTCATTGAGTCCCAAAACATGACCACAGAAGGTGGTCTCGCATTCTCCACGAAAAATTTTTATACTCATAAACCCTGAGACACTATTTCTTGCTTATTGAGGGACAGATTTTGTAAAGCTTGTGTTTTTCCTTTGTTACAGCTTCATCATAAAATATATATATATATATATATATACAAACCAACTTTTCATGAGAAGTTGTCTGTTCACAATTCGCATATTGTCCACCAATCCGTGGGCACCACGACTCAGTAACAATCAGATAAGAATGTGATCTGACAGCTTCATATTTACTACGCCAAGGAACAGTTTGACGACTGTTCCTACCAAATTCTGTGCTGTAATCTAAAAGCAAAATTTTTTTTGCTGAATATCCAAGAAAAGCATGCCATGAAGAAAGTAGTGTCGATCCTTGCCTTGCTGCTACTTGTGGCCTGCACGAGGGCAACATCGGAGTCATGTAAGTAGGCTGATACGCTTGGTTGGGTACAATTGTTAGAAAATAGGTCACGAAGAAATCTATGTGTAGTCTGCCTTACCACACCACTATCTGCAGCTGACTGTGTTAAAAATTCAGTCTGCTGTGGGGATGCTAGGGATGGGGTTTTGTGCACATGAAAAATGAAAAATCGTGAAAACTCTGCATGTGAAAATACGCAAATTAGCTGATTCCCAAGGGATTTAAAAACTATTGTTGTTTTAAGCTTAAAAGTTGGAAAAAAAAGACATGAAATAGAATTAAATACCATTCTGTTGCATTCTAGACAGCATAGCCTTGTTTTGTCAATTTTTCAGTGGTTTTAGGTGATTTTGAAAGGTTAAGTTTTCACCCGGAAGAAAGGTTGAAATTTGCACGTGAAAGAATCTGCTTGAGAAAATATGGAACCCTGCTTCTAGAATGAAGAAAGTTTCAGAATCTGAATTGTACCATTTTACAGTACAAAACCTTAAGTTAAACTAGTGAGTTTTCCATGTATTTCTGTTAAATTCAAGTGATTTTAAATGTTCGGGGTTCATTTCAGGTCGTTTGGCCCAAAAAATTATCATGCAAGTAATGAGATGTGAGAAGAAGAAGAAACATGAGGGAATATATTTCATCCATACCTATGGTATGGAATGAAATATGATAATACATCATAATACAGTGCAGCGTTAGTGGCGTAGCGGTCCCGGGTTCGAACCCCACCTTGTCACCGATCTTGTGCCCTTGGCACACGACTTTCCTCACTTCACTGAGGTCAAAATGAGTACCTAGCTTTGGTTAGGGACGTCCCTCAGATAGGACATTAAATGGAGGTGCTGTGTTTGGGGAGAGCCACGCCCTACGCACAACTTAACGAACCCACCACACCTTTCGAAAAAAAAATTCGGGCAATGTGCAATGGTCCAAATTCTACATGTCTGGAAGTTGGTGATGGCCTGGCGAACCCTCGTTTCGTATTAGCCACAAAAACATGCCAGTAATTGCCGACATCTCGGCAGATGGGCATTATCGGAAGAACAGAACAGATCGGCGTTCAGCTGGCAAGACTTCATCCTGCGCCATGAAATAACTGAACGCATATTCTATTTTCAAATATTTACTTGGATCAGGTCCAATACTTTTGTGAGGGGGGGGGGGGTTATGATTAAACCGACTACTGAACAAATTAAAAACTCAAATACAATTTATGTTTTCTACATTTGAATTAACACACTTGGTGGAGGGGCAGTTCTAGATCATTTGGATTTTACAATAGACGCTGTCTACCCATATAAATTATGATTCTTTTGATACTTTGGCAAAACTGTCGATATGCACAGTGCGTCACCTCCGAGTTACGAAAACCAAGGACAACACTTTTCAGCCTAACCTCAACGTAATGGAGGCAACAAGCCCCCAACAACACATATCACTGGAAAGAAGACATCCTTACGAAACTCGCGAAGCTGTTGTAAACGAGCATCACGACAACATGAAGGCGTAATAAGCAGAAATATTCACCTGGTTTTGACACACTGGCCAACAACCCGACGGGCGCCATGATGGATTTCTGACGAAGGGGCTGACGGGAGAATCAAACACAGATTATTTTTAAGAACGAAAATAAAACACGATTTGAAAGCGTAAAATTCGAGTATATAAAATTTGCATGATTACAATTTATTGATATTGTAATTGTTATTTGTTTTACGGAAAAATTCCTTTCATGTTGGTGTCAAAGGTCAGATGGTAAAGTGGCGGGAAATTTCTGGCGCGAAGAACTGAGTCTGTCGTCTGTACGTCTGTAAATTTTCTCTCAGTTTCACTCGGCAAAATGATGGCCCAGCAGCTCAACTCCCCTCCGCTGAAGAGACAGAGGTCTGACAGGGACGGTCAGGAGGAGCCAGATTCATCGGAAGGGTTCAGGTTCAGCCAGGAACCGACTCTGGACCAAATGTACGTCGGATATGTGTGTGTGTGTGTGTGTGCTTGCCCGCCCCCCTCCCCCACTGTACTGTATTTGACTGTGTTGTAACTTGTACTAGGTTACTTTTTAGGTTGTGTAACTGCTTTGGTTATCACAACCACTATGTTATAGCTTATATCTTGTTCTCTATCTTTTGGACAACTTTGAATAATTTTGATTGATACATTATTATCACCAGAAGCCCTGTGAAAATGATGATGTAAGAACTTTATTGCAGGACAATTGCACATGGTACAATGTATGGCAAACTACATAAAGAGAGTAACAATCAATAAAATAAGTGTGTTTAAGGTGACAGTAAGGTGATGTGTGTATAACGCTTTTCTACAATTCAAAATCCAGGATAATGAATTTAGATGCAGTGCATGTGATACTGTTTACTACACGTATGTTGAAATTTCACCAAAATTTTCAGTGCACATAGATGTACATTTGTACATGTACACTTTGACCATATACATTCTGGATCCTCACCCAGTGTCAAAAGTTACACACACATGTAAATATACAATCATAAGGCCTGGATGAGATTATTAACTTAACTGCCCCCCTTCCCCCTCCAGTCGAGCCATGCAGAACCAGTTTTCCCGGGAGAGAAACTGGGACCAGTTCCACACGCCGCGCAACCTCCTACTGGCCATGGTGGGTACAGCACTGCAGTACTGGGATGAACTGCAAGGGGGCAGCCATGTCCTGTCTTTTTAGGCCACTGATTTGATTTTATTCAACACTGAACTGTACATGACATCCGCGCTCGCATTGATTTTTGCCTGTTCTCCATAAAAACAAAAGCTAAGAGGGTATGGCCTGGGTGCCATCCTCTGTAGTCCATTGTGGCTACCGACAATAGGGAGCCGGCGGTAACAATGGAGAATGCACCCAGGCTACCGAGGCTCCACAGAATTCCATAACTCAGTACGGTGCACAGGTGCCGACTCATAAATGCTGCAAAGGGCCAGCATATACCGGCTTGTTGTAAAAGTAGTCACCTGCAACTCCTAACTTCATCCCAAAAGCAAGATAAAAATCATGACAATGTATTTCATATACTGAAAGTACTACTACATGATGCAGTACTGGGATAGACTACAAGAGGGCAGCCATGCCATTCCTTTTTCAGAGTAAACTTAATATGCAAGAAGATTAGCTGGATCAAATACACTGCAATTTAAATTTACAAAAAAAGATTACAAAAGAAAATAAACAGCAGAAGTGGCACTAGAAGGGTACAACCATCTACCACGTAGACTGGATTATTGTATAGAGAAATGTGCAAAGGGGAATAAAACCTCGCTTATCACACTTCAGCAAGTGGCTTATATACATGTAGTTTTGCAAGAAAAAGACTCCCAATTTTGTTTTACTTACTGCTGATGACAATTTATTTTCCCCCTTTCCCCACAGACTGGAGAAGTTGGAGAGGTTGCTGAGTTATTGTGAGTAAATAATGATCAGATTTTTCTTTAATATCATATAATTATTGCATATCAATCAATAGTTTGTGCTTATAAACCTGCATTTCTCCTCTGGTCTCTCAGTCACTGACGAAAGCTAGTGGATACTAGCTGAAACGTCTGACGTTTTCAAAATCATATCCAGTTGCTTGAGTAACTGCTTTTTGGCATATCTTAATACCTGGATGTCTAACCTTCATCGACGCAAATTTTTTCTTAGTTTGAGCCATCATTTATTTTAATCAAGGAAAACTAAAGTTGGCCTGCTGACTACTTTTTATTGAGGTCATGAGGGAAGAGTTCATCATCAGACATAATATGACAAGATTCAGGTTACATTGTACATGTTTCAAGTCCTCAGAAATCCAACTCATAGCTATACATGCACTTCCTTCAAATATGCAGTATTACCAAAGTATAAATGAATGAAAGTTGGCATATGGTCTGTAACTGTTCATTTTTGACATGGTGTTAAAGTTTACATTTTAATTTTTTGGAATCCTTACTGCAAGTCTCCCAGGTAAAGTTGCTGCCATACATTACATGTGCCTCTATTTGCAGTATGAATTTTTTGTATAACTGAAATTGTGCTAAGAAAACAAGGCAGGGTGTTTGACTTTGAGACCAATTACTGTGGGAATTAGCTGTAGAACCATGTATGTTACTGGTTTGAGTTTCAGTCTATTTGTAATGGAGGAATAAGGCCCAGCCATGTCAGCTGTGTTTATTGATCTAGATGTTCCCACAACTGTACTGTACAGCTAGCCTGTAGATCGCTTACTGCCGACCGTCCGTCCCGGTAGCTTTTGTTTGGGAACCTTAACCTTCGGTGTTTACTGATCTAATTCCCATATCCAAGCTCCCTGCCACCCTCATGGTCTTCCAGATGTTGTTAGTGCATACACCATAACTTAGGCTGTTCCAAGGAAACTCACTGGTTTGAGGAGGTTTCTTCAGAAAAAGACAAGCTGTATGCTAGTCACAGATGTATATCACAACAACAATGTGTAGGCAATTAAGTCCAGACTGAAGTCTTTATTGCAGATATTAGTTGTAACACTAATTAGTTGTACACAGTACAGTAAGTACAAGCTGTGTGAAAATGAACTGTGAAGTTTGAACTACTCACATTTGGAAGGACCCATACTCTTTTCAATAAGTGTAATGGGATCTTTAACATGCTGGAGGTGTGGCTATCCTGAAACACAACTGGACCTCTGGCTTTTCTATACAAGAAGATGTAACTAGCTGAAGCTAGGTATTCATTTTCACCTGAGTTGAGTGAAAAAATAGGTATGAACGACACAACAATGGGGCCTGCCCGGGATTCGAACCCAGAACCTTCAGATTCTGAGTCAACAGTCTCAACACCACAAGCCCACCTTGCTACCTTACATATGTAGTTCATAAATCAATTTCACAGACCAACCTTGGTCCAGTTTTCACGGTAGTAAATTTGGGCATGAGCTGACGAAAAAGTTGCCGACTGAAAAGTATGTAAATATTTATGTCCCAGTTAAGTTGTGGATATTTTTTCTAAAGGTTGGTACGAAAAATAGCAGATGTGCGATCTCAATCATATTAAGGCTTAATTTAGGGTAACAAGACACTATATAAGCAATGGTCACTTATAAGTTACCGGTACTTAAAGTTCCGCAAGACTCCAAACTTTTGAAGGCACCGTATTGGGTCCATTCATTCTAGTAAGTTAGTTTGTACACTAGATCTGCTGTACAGTTAACCTTCATTTGAAAGACTCCAAAAGACTGCTGTTTTGTATCATTTAATGAAGAATATCTGTTCCTAAAGTAAGTTTCTGTTGTGAGGGGTGTCAAGCATCTCTCTTCACATTCAGGTTGTGACAGAAATTAAGACGCCACAAGGCAGCTTGCTGTTTTGTATTTGTGTTCATTGAGGACATATTATACAGCCAATCTGCTGAGGATAATTGCTTTGGTTTCCAAACAGTTTTAAGTGTTACCTAAGATTCGAATGGTGCAGGTCAAATTGGCTTGGTGCAGGTGATTTTCAATATATATCTTACAAATTGCATACACAGAAAGAAGCTATTTCAAGCTGGTCGGTGTGTTATGCTGAAGGGCCGTTATAATTATAAATATACTATGCAGACACAGAATTTTGAAATTTGAAGCATATAGTGTGCAAGATATTCTTGACATTTAAGTATCGGGAAATAAGGCTATGAAATTCCAGCGATTTTGCTTTAATTCATCAGAATTTGCTTCTTCTTGGCAGGATTTTATACCTTCCCAATACCTATACTGTTAGTACAAGTATACATCAGTCCACCTTGTGTCAAATGTCCCAGGAGAGTCCAATGGACACACACATGGTGCTAACACAGGTTCAGGGTTGTGGGGCTAGTCATGCCCATTTACTGTACTGTAATCTCCAGGCCACCCATGGGTGCCGGGGTCATGCTCACTTGGTCAGGGAGGGTCGCAGGTCCACATAATCCTAACCTAAACTACATACAACCTTTCTAATGGGTTTTACAGACTCTTTGGAAGTTTGCTCCATATAGATGTAGAAGGGAACAGTTATCTCACATCATGGACAAAAGAACAGGGGAACTATGGTGCTCAGTACAAGAAAACTGAGACTCAAACGCCTACATATTATGACTAGATACGACTGGATAATCAAGGGTTAGATGTAACAAGTCGATTGGTGTAATGTAGACAGCTGCCACCGCACCGCGTGCCAGCGGAGCTGGTGTGTTACGCCAGTGTGTTATATGACTTCAACTTGAAGTCAACTTAATTTTGCTTATGTTTACTCCTTGACGCACTATAATTGCAGTGTAGATGATAAATTCGGGACTTTTCTGGATCCAAAAGCCGTGACTGACGTGTGCCTGACATTCTGATGATGATTATTTTTCTATTGTCCCAAAAATGTCCCAAAGTGTCTTTTTAGTTGTGTAAGAAACAGGAGAAGACAGTAAAAACCCTTCTGGTCCCGGGCCGGGTTCGAACCCACGACCTCCCGAACACCAGAGCTTCATAACCAGACGCTCTAACTTCTCCGCTAAAAGGTCTAGACCCGGTTACCAGATCAGTTGGTAGCGCCTATAAACCCCCCACTGTTACACTTGTCCCAGTTTAAATTTTAGTGGCCATTGGACCACCTTTAATTTGGAACCCTGACAAAGCCATAGTAATTAAGACATACCCGACTACAGTCCCAGTGACAGACAACTGAAGGTGCCCAGTTTGTGTCTCTCCTCCATGTTGCTTATTTACCCTGTCAGTAGGGAGGTTTGTTACCTCCAGCTGGACTCTGCATGGGGGGATGTAGAGATGTAAACTGGACATGTTCTAAACTGTCTGTTTCTGGGGCAACTATTTAGATGGGCTGCTTAATGTGGCCTAGTGGTTAGAAGTCCTGATTCTGGGTCATAAGGTCTGCATGGCTGGAAATACTGTGTGCATAAAATAATATGCACTTTTGTGCACCAAAAATTGGAGCTGTGCACATAAATGTAATTACATGTACCTTCATATGTTTTCCATAGCATTTGTGTGTGTGTATGTATGTATTTATGTATGTGGTATGTGATGCTTGATAACATAAGATAACAATTATGCAAATCAGGAGCTAATTTGCATAATTAATGCAAAAATTCTATAAATCTGCTGCATTCAACAATAGGACTATGAAACACTTGTGATGTGATAGTTTTTGTGAATGCTCTTTGTTGAACGTTTGGCAAAGTCAGCATTTTATGTTTTTATGATCAGGTAAATATGTCTTGTACTACAACCAAGATATGGCATTGGTGTGGCCCAGCTGTTCTTAAGATATATCAGTCACATGTGGCTTACTTGATCATGAACACAGCTGAGTGTCATCAAACTCAAAGTGCGAAGTAATACATATCTACAGGTAGCATCTCAAGCAACCTGTGGCTGCCACACTAACATAATTTATGCTTACCTGCTACTTTCATATTAAACTACATTATACAGCTGAGCTTTTCAAAATCTGTGAAAAACAGAGTAGTAAAAATGTTATGGGGCTTTATTTCTAGAATTATGAATCGATCTAAGGTAAAACATATTGAAAACAAGCTACCTTAGAGTGACACTGTAAGGCCTCTCCCGCACTACAAACAGTTTGCTTGTGTACAAATATGGCTATGATTTATGGCAACAGTTGTCACTGTCGCTCGTGGTTTGGATCGAACCGTCATTGCCTTTCTGTTTCTTCATCGCTTGATGTGAACAATTTTTGCATGCACCCTCGCACTGGCATAAAGTGTCAGCAGCAGTGGGGTGAAAAATGAACCAAAGTAGTGCTCAGTAGAGGCTCCCAAATGGGAACATGATAGTACCTGGTTAATACCTGTATGGAGTATTATATTGGTGTGCATGCTAGGGTCATCAATTTTGTATGGTAGATATAAGATGCCTCTTGAGAATTCAAGTGAGTTTGGCCCCCCTAGCAGCTTGTTCTGGAACTTGCGTCATATGAAGTTTAGTGAGGGTGAACATCATCAAACATAAGTTATTCTAATAAGCTCCTCATTTACATAATTTATGAGGAAATGCTAGAAGATCCTTTTTTGAAGATAAGACTGTCATTGGGTATATAGGGTGACCTTGTAGTTTGTCCTTAATTCTGTGAGGCTCTGTATGGGGTTTTATCCTGATTTTCTTCTGGTTTCAGTCAGTGGAGAGGAGAGGTGGAGGAAGGACTCCCAGGTGGGTTTTTAAATTTTTTTCAGCATCAGACTTTAGTTGATGTTATGAATTTACACCAATTGATCACAACCCATAGATTTCCTCTCCTCCTTTTCACTACTAAAAATTGAAAAGGAAGCCACAGGTATCTTTTCAGTATGGTTGTGCTTGCTTGTGGTCAAATCTTTCAACCCAAAAAGTCTTAAATGGATTGCTATAAAAAAATCTTGCATGTATTTGGAGTATATCTTGAAGAAATAATTTGATTTTGCCCTCAGCAGCTTTCCTCATTTCAAAAACGAAAGTTTTAACATTTCCATATAATGCTGCATGAATGAACATTCCGCCTCCAAGGCAGAGGACAATAGAGAATTCTCATTTTCACCTGAGTTGAGTGAGGAAAATTATGTGAAGTACCTTCAAGTTAGTCTTTAATCATTCATGTCAGTCTTTAACCATTAGTGGGGTCGTGTGACATAACGGTGTTTGACTCAGAACCAAGAGGTACCTGGTTCGAACCCTGCCATGTCACTGATCTTGTGCCCTTGGGAAAGCCACTTTACACGACTTTTCTCACTTAGCTCAGGTGTAAATGAGTATTGTCCTATCATGTATTTGTCCATGTTGTCCATTACATGTTGGAATGAAAAATAAAAAAAATAGAAGATTCATGTGCCCACCTGTGTCTTTGCAGACTGGTCTGAGAAGGATAAGAAACACCTGTCCCAGGAGCTGAGCGACGTGCTGATTTACCTGGTCCGTCTGGCGGAGAAGTGCCACGTGGACCTGCCCGCCGCCGCTGTGGACAAGATCAAGCTCAACAAGCTGAAGTACCCCGCCCACCAGGTGTACGGGTCCAGCAAGAAGTACACAGAGTACAACACACCTGAGAAAAACAGCTCATGATGTTACAGGGAGGTGGAGTAGTGATCATTAGGGGAGGGGGGGGGGGGCAAGAGATCATCAAAAAAAGTTAGAAGTACACAGCGTACAACACACCCGAGAAAAACAGCTCATCATGATACATTGTACGGGAAAGGAGACAGAGAAGTCTACATTGTTATCATCAGTAAGGGATATACAGAGTATGCTACACCCACTGCCAGGAAAAACAACAACTGATGTACATGAATATGGGATAGTGGTCAGTGGGAGGGGGCAAGAGATCATCAGAAAAACAACTAGGGTATAGAGTCAAGTCATCAGCAATGAAGGGGAAAAAGTAAGTACACAGAGTATAACACACCCGAGATAGACAACTCATGATCTACATGTATACTGGGAAGTGGTCAACAGGGGAGGGGGAAAGACATTGTCATCAGTTAGAAGTACACAGAGTATACTGTCCAGGGAGAAAAAAAACATACACAGAGTATTCACAATACCTGAGAAAAATAGCTCATGGTCATATTTGATGATTAACTAAAGCAGTCGACATAGGTGGTGTGGGGCTGGGTTGGAGTTAATACTTTGTCCCAAAACTAACTATTTGATAACATGTACAGGTGAATATATGACCTACTGACCAGGTGAACAGGTGTTTCTTACAGCTCCTTGTAACTTATATCATATACAGGTGTTTCAGGTGTTTCAGCTGTAACTGAATACACCTGGAGTTAGTTGACATGTACATTTTAAGTTTCGGCATTTTAGGTTGCAATAATAATTCTGGAAAGGTTAGGTCCATTTGGCATTCTTGAATGGTTTTCTGCATGTAAGACATCACAAGTAGCAATAACTTGTAGAGGTAGCAAAACCACCGTCCAAATATCTTAAAGGAATGGACCCTAGTGATCAGACTCTGTTTTCAAGATAACGATTTTGAAGTTAAAGACTTGAAACTTTTCTAGTCAAAAATTAGGTTCTTCCTTTAAGGTTCTTTGAAATCATGATCTAACTCTATTAAGTCTCCTTGCCATCTGTACATGTATGTGTATTGTATACTTTGTACAAAAACTGGATACTCAAATTTCAAGAGTTTTCAGGCAGTTCTTTTTAGTTTTAGAGGCATAGACCAAAGATTACAACTTAACAGATCAGGGAATCAAAATGTTTATTTCAGGTTTTAAATTTACCCAGCCAAAGACAAAAAATGTTTTATTTTATGTTTTTACTCCATGTTGATTGTGGCATTTTTAGTCCTTGAGACATTCTTGTTGCAATGTAGATTTTAGACACAGTTGATGTAGACTTGTTCTTGTTAGTTTTATGTAGCAACTTGTTAACTTTAAGTCCTGTTTTCAGGCTTAGTCTAGACCTTATTTGCAGAAGTGATGTTTCAGCGATTGTAAACCCTCTAGGTGGGTTGGTGTAATCTTTGTAAATACTACATGTAAGTGGCAACATCTAAGGATAAAGGGCTGTATATATCTACTTTCTGTTCTGTTAGTGTGTGTTTTGTTTGTGAATTGCACTACTCGAGGAGTTGTGGATAGATCATTCAGTAGAATATTTGGTACTAGTATGTGGGAAAATGCTGGGCTAACAAAGGACATGTTTAAGGTTCAATTATGGGCCCCCTAGCTGCTTTCTACAGTACTGATAATGTTTCTTTTCCATCCTTTTTGCGACTTGTTAAACTACACTGACTATTAGCAAGACTCCTTTTTAACATTTAGGGCTACAAATAGATTTGTGCCAGCTTCCTTGTCACCCCCCTTCAGACTCTCCAGTCTGGCACTACTACAGGAAACCTCAAATGCCACCGATTCCTGCCGTTACGCCACAACCCCCTCCACAGCCTCTACCGAACCTTCCCGTCGCTAGGCAACCCGTGGTCCATCCCCTGCCGTATCTCTCGAACCGTCCCCACATTGGAGGAAACAAGTGCCGCGTCGGCCGCGGTAGAAAGTCGCGGGTTCTTATCTTGGAGTCGGTCTTGGGGAGGCGCCCTTGAAGTGGACGCCCATCCTTCCTGAGGCTTTGGCTTTGGCGCTTGGCTGAGAGCGGGAAGACCTTTAACTTAATGTTAGTGAGATTCGCTGGGTCTCTGTAGGAATATGTGGTGAGCCTCGGCGGTCCTGGAGTGGCAACTCTTAGGTAAGTCCTGACAAGTGCTTCACGGTCTATAGCGATGTTGTGTCCATGCAGAACCAAACGTGCTTTATTCAGAACCAACCGTGCTTTATCCAGAACCAAGCATGCTTTATCCAGAACCAAACGTGCTTTATCCAGAACCAAACGTGCTTTATCCAGAACCAAACGTGCTTTATCCAGAACCAAACGTGCTGTATCCAGAACCAAACGTGCTTTATCCAGAACCAACCGTGCTTTATCTAGAACCAAGCGTGCTTTATCCAGAACCAAACCTGTTTTATCCAAAACCAACAGTGTTTTATCCAGAACCAAAAGTGTTTTATCCAGAACCAAACTTGCTTTATCCAGGACCAAACGTGCTTTATCCAGAACCAAACCTGCTTTATCCAGAACCAAACGAACATTATCCAGAACCAAACCTGCTTTATCCAGAACCAAACCTGCTTTATCCAGAACCAAACCTGCTTTATCCAGAACCAAACCTGCTTTATCCAGAACCAAACCTGCTTTATCCAGAACCAAACGAACATTATCCAGAACCAAACGTGCTTTATCCAGAACCAAACCTGCTTTATCCAGAACCAAACCTGCTTTATCCAGAACCAAACGAACATTATCCAGAACCAAACGTGCTTTATCCAGAACCAAACGTGCTTTATGATAAGTTTATCCAGAACCAAGCATGCTTTATCCAGAACCAAACCTGCTTTATCCAGAACCAAACGAACATTATCCAGAACCAAACGTGCTTTATCCAGAACCAAACCTGCTTTATCCAGAACCAAACGAACATTATCCAGAACCAAACGTGCTTTATCCAGAACCAAACGTGCTTTATGATAAGTTTATCCAGAACCAAGCATGCTTTATCCAGAACCATGCCCACGCACGGACCTAGATAGTCCACGTGTATCCTGAACCGTGCTTGCGACAAGTCTACGTTCTGGGATACGGAAAAACAATCCAGAACCGTGCCTGATCCTAACCCACTTTAGTAAGAAAAGTCTGTCAAAACACGTGTTAGGCACATTTATCTGTGTCAACAGTTCACAAAATCGCTAGTGGTATTTCGTCTTTTGGCATCTTTTTACAGATACTAAATTAATGTGCTAAATGATCAGATTAATAATACATGTATGTTATTCTCAGCCAAACCAATAGATAGATACGTAGGTAAGTTTTTAAGTGTTGTGCCCACGTGAAACGGTGTAGTTTCCCTCTCCAAATCGGTTGAAGTTGTCTCCTAAAGGTACGGGAAGGGTGCAGGTGCATGCAGCAAAGTTGTTATTGGACCGCTCGAACTGCTTAAGAACAACAAACCATTCTTGACTCGGTTTCTGTAGGGCCGGTTCCTGTGCATGTGTGTGGTAGAGTTGCTTTCCCATACATGTTTCAGGATAGCAGCAGTGTCGGGTTTGCTTTCAATACGAGCATACTGTAGCTCAAGTTACAGTGAAAGTTAGCCAGAAATGCAGTAACTCAAGCAAGTGGAAGTACATTATTGAAAACTGTCGGACGTGTCAAGAGGCAGTCACTACTTTTGTCAGTGACCAACGAAATCTGTAGTTGAAGTTATCTAAAAACTATAGTTGCTTACACTGATTTGAGTAGCAGTTTTCGCGTGTATCTCATTACTTGGATGTCTAGCCTTCAGCGTTACAGTTGAAGCTGTGTCATACAAAAGAAACCTGCAACTGAATACATACTCTGAAATGTTTCAGTTAACATCCGCTAACATTTTCATCTAAAGGTTCTTCTGAGGTGGTTCTCACTTTTCTGAGTACAGGTGCAGAAAGGTGTCACACACCTGCAAATCTGCTAACACCGGAGAAGGCAGAACCTTAGGCCCTTCTTCCACTGGGATAGAATTGTCAGGATCGAGCCAATTCTACCCTAAGAGGGCCATAATTTGTCTTGGCTTAGTTACGAGCTGGACAACTTCCCAGCAAAATAAAAACGCGGGGTTTTGTCCCCGAAGAAGCGAGTTACCGTCCAGGCACGTCCGCGCGCTGCCGACGGTGTGTCCCACGCCACGGGTTGGAAAAGTTGGGGACAGTCGCAGGCCTGTTCTAAAGCACGGCACTTAAAACTGCAGCAATGGTTTGGACGGGGGAATATCTCACGGGTTTATAAATGTGGTTAATGAGTAAGGGGGTGCCTCAAAGGTCTTAAATCTTCCCAAATGAGTTGTATTTCGGTTGTCTCCTTCTTCGCTTTCACTGGATTTACACCCCTCATGTTTGCGTGCGTGCGTGCGTGCGTGTGTGCGTGTGTGTGTGTGTGTGTGTGTGTGTGTGTGTGTGTGCATGTGTGTGTGTGCGCGTGCGTGCGTGCGTTCGTGTCGCATGTTCGGCCTAAGATTATTTTGGTGTCCAGGGCAGAGGCTGGTATTTCTACTAAAAATAGTACTGATTTGTGTTAACGCCTGTTCCCCGTTGTTGTGGACGTGCTTGTGTCACCGCGAGTCCCTCTGACGGTTTCCCCGGCCTCCCGTCCTCCCTGCCCGAGGGAGCCGTCTGTCATCCCCCGGTGAATCTCACCGCCTCACCTCGAGCCCACCGGGCGTCGCGCCAGGACAAACCCACTTCCACCGTCTTAAAGAATGTCTTCAAGAATTCAGACGTCTTCGGGTGTTATCTTGGGATCTTCTGGACCCGTCTCGGAGTAAAGTCGGAGTTTCAGGAATAATAAACACGGGTCTGATCTTTTCTTTAGACTTTGATCAAGGTTCTAACGTTCCTCACGAGAGGAGTTCTGCATCTGGCCCGGAGGCGAGGTGAGGTGAAATATGGTTTCAGTGGGGCGGAGAAATATGGCGGGTTGGTAGCCTTCGTAGCAGGCTTATAGAACTGGGGGTTTGGTGGTCTTCGGCTGTTAGCCTCCGTAGCAGGCTTATATGAAGTTGCCTTTATTTATTGCAAATTCCTGCCCGAGGGCTAATTGCAAACAGACATTGACAAGAAAAATGTGGTGATATAAGACTATGTGCTAACATGAAGTTCTACGTGTACGATATACTTATCGAACCTACTATCTCTGAGGAGTTATAGAACTGGGGGTTTGGTGGTCTTCGGCTGTTTTCTGATTAGCTCAGTTCTAAAAACGGGTAATTCAACCAAGACGACTATGTTGTCTATATGCAATCAGAAAATAGCACAAAGACCCTGAAGACCCTCAAACCCCCAGTTTTTGGCTTGCTATATGAAGGCTAGCGGCTTGTCATCACGCACGGGTAGCGGAGAGCCGCGGTAGACACAGGTTAACATACGGAGTCTGTGTAGCGGTAAGAGGTGGGAGTGACGGACCTGGCCTGTCGTCGGGACGCGCAGTCTTGTTGGGATTTCCATACCCGACATCGTCCCCTGTTTGTGGACAGACGGAGCCATTCTGACTTCTGTCAGAAATGTAGATGTGTTAGAGAGTTGATGTGATCCTGGTTGCGTGATCTGAACCTGCTGTTATGTTCTTAACGCTGAATCTTGCTGAGGAAGAAATGATCCTTATTGTCATTTATGGTGAAGATTTTTTTCAAAGGTAAATAGATCTTGGGCTCATGAAGAAGTAAGAGAGGTTGAAGCCCCCTAGCAGCTTCTTTTTAACTGCAGGTTCAAATTTCATTGGAGACATTGAAGAATGATAACTCAAGATCTTAACAAATGTTTATGTATTGCCTTGACTATAGTTACTTTCGTTTTCGTAAGAAGACCTCCGATATGCAAAAATGTGCAATAAGGGTCTTCATTTATTCATTTAAACATTCATTCAATATAACTCTTCATGATCGTCAGTGTCTCTAAGACGGGACGAACTCCGTGTCCTTAAGGCACGTGTAAGGTCGCGTCTTGTCTTGACTTGAGTCATGTTTTGTGGCAACCCTTGAGCCGTCCTGGGAGGTTGTCCTCATCAGCGCGTTTTTAACTTACGTTCGTGTCTCGGTCAATAAGAACTAGATGCAAGAAGCGTGTCGCGTCTTAGTAGCTTCAAACTACTCTCCAAGCAGAAAACAAATCCAGTGCAAAAGAGAAATCCCGATAAAAAAGCCTAAAGCACGCTAAAAATAACCCCAAACCCAAACATCTACTTGGAGAGTAGCTTCAAACGACAGATACATGATACTGTCTTGCCAATTTGATATACTGTCTTGCAATTTGAGATACTGTCTTGCAATTTGAGATTTACTGTCTTGCCAATTTGATACTGTCTTGTGTGCAGCCACCGAAAGATCTGCTTGGAGATTATGCTTAAAGATCATGTGCAGTTGTCTCTAGACAGAAAAAAAACTCGTACTATTTTGTTCTTGAACTTGACTGAACAGCGGGCTTACATCACGAAGTGCGGATCATATCAGCTTGCTGAGACATCCTGAGGTGTGACAGAAGTCATGGATCAGGCGCGTCACCGTTCTTACACAAACACAAGGCGCTGTAGTTGTAACAGTGGGGTTCTAGACCTTTTAGCGGAGTGGTTAGAGCGTCGGAATCTGAAGCTGGTGCTCGGGAGGTCGCGGGTTCGAACCCCGGCCCGGGACCAGGGGTTTTCATCTGTTTCTACTCGCTCCTCCTGTTTCTTACATAGTCACAACTGTGGGGACCGTCAAACAATATCACACGTGTTTTTCTGCCTCCTGAACTTTTGGATTTCTACTTGAGACGCGCGGTGTTGAAGAGGGTTAAGGTTAGGGTTAGGCCTGCGGGAAAATGTTGTGTTTTCGGTAATGGGACCCATATTCGTCGGAGTTAATCGTACGAATTTGATATAATAGCGCAGCATTTGCAAGTAGACTGTGGCACAACCAACCGCCGACAAGAATCTAGGAGAGTCAAAGACAGTAGCAAGACAGCTGAAATTTGTACGGCACATCCACAACTATCACAGGAATACCCTCACTTGCGATTGCACGACAATGGTACGACATCATATGCCCTTACCCGACTAACTCTTGAACAACTTGCCGACCCTAGACGTTGTGGAATCGTCTTTCCCAATTTCTTTTCTCCTAATTT